AACTTTCGATGCGTACAAATTAAATGGTTCAAATTCGCTTCGATTCGGTTCGTTCAAACTTTGGACTTCCATCTCTCACAATTGCTTAATATTTCATCATCGTCGTGTCTTCTGGAAATTCTCAATCGAGATCCACTCTATCAATCCAAACTTCCTCGCCTTCTTAATGCTGGAATTGATGGAAATCTGACGAGAAGAGGCATCAGAAGCAATACGAACAAATAGGGAACTCGATCTGCCCGTTCGATCGCTTTAAAACTCTGGCCTTGAAGACTGGAGAGGAGATATCTTCACCAACACGACATTGTGAGATCCAATTCCGGTCTGGGGATTGACACTTCTGCTTCTACAGGACACAGTTGCAGGGAGAGTCACCGATAAACTATAATCGATGATACTATTGCAGTCCCACTCAAGATTTCTGCTCCAGACTTTGTTAAATCGGGTGCACAAGTGCGTTTTTTCTTCGTATTTATCTATTTCTAACTGATCGCTCATTGTATGTATTTTACCACAATTTCTTGTTCCCTCTTGATTTTCTCTACAATTTCATATTCTAATGTTCAAATAATTTTCATTGTACTGAAGATAAACGACTCATACGACTCTTCGTTCATCCACGAGTGCTATGCGTTGCTTGAATTCATATTCCAAGCCTCTTCTCTGATTTTTTAGAGTTAGATATTTTTTGCGAACGCCCCGGATTATTTGGGAGACGTTTTCTTTAAAGCATTTTTTTGGTGTGGTTGCCTAAATTCAGGCTAATTCACAGTTATTTTGAGGAAAATGATTTTCATTTGGCTCTTGTAAAAATAAAAGAAATTCTCTAATTCAAGGTGGACTATGCTAGCCGTGCTAAGTTCGAGGACAAAGAAAATTCCTTCAACTGCAAATTGGGGTTGTTCCAAATCAGGGTTTTAAAATGCCTGGAGACCTGATTGGTTTTCTTCATTTTCGAGACTTTATTGAAGAATCAATTTGGAAAATCAACTTTTCTTTAGGAATCGACCATGCACCTGTTATCCTCTTGATTAATTTGCAAGATAATTTTATTCATTATGTACAAGTACAACCATCACACAATTACAAAGAAGAAAACGAGACCATTCCCCATGGCGTAGCATTCCTCATAATTATAATTTTATTCATATTTTACACAAGTATTGGTTTTCTTGATGATAGTAGCATTCCCCATGGCGTCTATTTTCCAAATATCCATCATACCGTGGCTCGTAGTTGGCTTGGTGGTGAAGAGAACTATCTTCTTCATCTTCTTCATGAGGAGCCAGAATCTTGAACCATTTGTTTTCTAAAATGCGTTTCTTGATGTCCATCTGGAGGAGAAACATTTCTACCAAGATCCATTTGTTGTCCTTTGTTCTTACGATCTTTTTGTTGGAGGAATGGATTGTTATTGCCTATAAAGAATTCCATTTGTGCTTCTAGTTCCCTCTATTCTTGATTGTTCTTTGGATTTTGTTGGCTGAGAGTGAGTTGGTTGAGTTGTCTAGCCATTTTACTCATTATTTGCTGAATTTCTCCTATTTTTTTTTTCCTTCAATAGAATTCCCCAACATCAAGTGTTAGGTGGATGTTTTTGGAGAAAAAACGTGTTAGGGATTAGGATACCAAACCCGGATGAACCGCGTCAAAAGATGGTGTGGGGGAGTGACTTCTTTCCTGCCATCATGTCTTTTCATGAAGGTGCTCTGATACCAATCTTGGTGTAACTCAAATGTGGAGAATTTTATATTTTATTTTTGATGAGAAACAATTTCATTGATAACATAAAATTACAAGAGAGAGGAGAATTCCGATCCAAAGGAGTTATAAAAAACTTCTCCAATTGGATATGAGAGAAGAATAACTATAGTAATGGAAAAACGAAGAACATTTACACCAATTAATAACCAAGAGAACTATAGTGTCAAAACTAAAGAACGACCATAAGAAAGATCATTTCTTTGAAGATTCTTTAATTTCATTCTTGCCATGTAACCCAAAGGAAGACTTTGATAAAGTTCATCCAAAGTTTTTTTTTTTTTCATTTTTTTCCTTTTTAAAAAGGCGGTAACCAAGAACACTGGAGAGGAGATGCACAGTCATTTGGCAGGTGTACCATCCAAAATTTGACTATAGAAAATCCCAGAATCTTGTAGTATCCTCACAGGTGGAGAATATGTGATATTGTGTTTCAAGGCTTGCATATAGAACACTATTGTAACACATTCTATGTTGGAACTTGTCATGTGTGTTAATGGCTTTGTGGCTAATCTCCCAAAGAAAGAATTTGTCCTTTTATGAGTAGTGGTCCTTCCACATGACATTATATAAAAGGGGGGCAACTTAAAAAATTTTGCTTGGTAGATCCCGTTAAAGAAAGCATGTTGAGAAAGATCCATCAGGTTCCAATTTCCAAAGACATTATCCGGTAATTGAGACAGATGCAATTTAAACAGGTGGTGTGAAAGATCAGCCGATTCTGTTTCATTTATCCAAAAAATTGGATGGTAGCCGGTTTATACAATGATAAGTTTTAAAGTAGAGGAAACTTACAAGCAAGAGAGACTTCCATCAACCAAACATCCTTCCAAAAGGAGATAGTTGCCCCATTTTCGATTTTGAAAGATATGCTCATGGATTAGGTTCTAATATTTCATATTGGATTTCCATGGACCTTTTGCATCTATGAATTTCCTTTAAAGGGTATATTTTTCATTGAGGTACCTCCAATTCCATTTAGCTGTGAGGGCTTTGTTTTTGTTTTCCAAAGCCATCTCTCCTACTATGATATATGCTAATTGGGGGTCTTTTCTTTTCCCTATATAGCACAGGATGTCGCTTGATTCTTATTTTTTGGTATCTTGGCTTGTATCTTTTTAATTTTGCTATTTTTATTCACTCCTTCAGGAGTTTGTATCTCTGAACAGTTTATGTTCCTTTTCATTAATCCTTGGAAAGTTTGTTTCTTATTAAAAAAGTCATTTGGTCCAATTCCATGTAAGTTTTAAAGTAGAGGAAACTTACAAGTAACCCTCTATCCCAAGCTTTCGAAACCGAAGGTTGCTTGCACGGTGTAAGTCTCCCTCCGTTACGGATGAAAGAATTCTTCCAAGATTGAAGCTTCTTTTTAACTTTCTCAACCATCGGATTGCAGAAGGAACAAAAATGATGTTTGCCACCTAATGGAAGACCCAAGTATGTTGTTGGGTACGAACCCACCTTGCAACCAAAAATTGTTGTCAATGAATTCACCTCTTGTTCTTCCGTATTAAGATCCAGAAACTTTGTTTTGGAGGTTGATATGCAGTCTAGATGCTTTAAGATGTACCAGATTAAAAAGATTTGTAAGATCCTGCTCCTTTGGCGAAGAGAAAAGGACGGTGTCGTCCGCAAGAAGAAGATGGTGAATATTAGTAGAATTTCCTCCCAAGTCAAAGCCTTTAACCACATTCTTTTAGCAGCATGAGTGAAAACTCTGCTGAAATAGTCCATAATCATGATGAATTAGGAAGGAATGTAAAGGATCACCTTGACGAAGACCTCTAGAAGCGAGTTTTTTATGTCTAGGTCGCTCATCTATAACAATTGAAAAATTTGTTGATGTAGTACACCCTATCCACATCCTCCATCTCTGACCAATCCCTTTGGCTATAAGAATCTCATATAGAAAATCCCAATCAACTTTGTGAAAGGCTTTTTCTATCATTGATGCATCCAGCACTAATGATAATTTGTTGGCAGCCACTCCTCATTTATTTCCCGCCTGTAAAGAAGAACCAATGGGTACTAATCTTTGAGGAATTTAATCTGTCATGGGCATTTAGTAACATAGCAGCAGATAATGTCCTTCAGCTTCTCCTCGGGCTCCCTTTTAATTCTAAAGCCAATCTTCTTTGGCTTAACGCTATTAAAGCCATGCTTTACGAGATATGGTTCGAAAGGAACTCTAGAGTGTTTGAAGACAAGAGACAATCATCATCAGTGCGCTTCAACATAGCTAAGTTCAAGGCTTCTCAATGGTGTTCTTTATTGAAATTATTTAGGAATTATTCCCCTAGCATGATCTGCTCCAACTGGGATGTATTTTTTTTTGAACAAGAAACGAACTTTTCATTGATAGATGAAAAGGAACATAAAATGTTCAAAGATACAAACTCCCAAGGAAGTGAAAAAACATAAAATAAAAAGATACAATCCAGAATAGCAAAAATAAAAAGACAGAGTATCATCCTGTGTATGTCTAACTAGGGAAAATGAAAGCTCCCCAATTAACATATATCATGTTTGGAGAATAATTAGCAAAAAGATTGGATGGAGCACATCATTGAGACGCTTTAAACTTAGCCAAGTTGAAGCATTCCATCGAAGGTCTTTTTTTTCCTAAAAAATCCTTTGGTTTCTCTCAAATCAAATCTATGAGATGATAGCTTTGACACCATTTACCCAAAGAAGGCTCGCTTTAGGAGGTAAAAAAGGACCAAACATCAGTTGGGTAACAATCTTTGAAACATCCGCATCCATTACCCAAGAGATATTGAACATATGGAGCAAGGAGAGCCAACAATCCGCTTCATATGGACAAGAAAAGAAGGTGTGCACCTGAAACTCATAATTTGCCATGCACAGCACACAAATGGATGGTTGCAAATGCATATGTGGTGATTTTTTTGAAGAACTTTTGCTGTGTTGACTTTTCCATTAATAAGAATCCAAGAAAGGGTATTAACCCTTTTTGGGCAACCCGTTCGCCATAGCCAACAACATTGATCATTGGTCATCAAGAAAGAAACCTTTCTAGGCTTGCATAAAGAAGCAACCAAAAAAGACCCCGAAGGTTCCAAACTCCACGTCAACTGATCTTCCTCCTCTTGCAAGATAATTGAATTTAAACTTGATAAGAGTATTAAATAATCATCAAATTCTTCATCTTTAAGATTTCTTCTTGTTTCAATTCTCCAAGAAGAAGAGCATGAATCCCAAGCCTCACGAACTGAGATAAAAGGGGCAGAAGAAATTCGAAATAATCGTTTTAATTGGAATGTTTATGGGGAAAAAAATTGGTAGTCGCTCTATCTGAAAGTTATCACACCCCTAAACTTAGAACCTTGCCTGTCCCCAAGCAAGATTAATTGTAACAACCCTAAAATATGAAAGGAACCTATATCTAATGAACACACATCTTGCATCAAGCACTGCTTTCAGAGTCAAGCATAACAAGACACAAAGCTTGCCATGATTAATGAAAGCAAACATACAAATTTAGAGTAATGAAAAACAACGCAAGGACTTATTCGATATGATCAGCACACAATCACTCGCACACACACCCTTAGTACTACTTACACACTGGTACGCTCCTAAACCTCGTGTCGATTCAACACCTAGGCATCAAGAGACAAAAGACAATAATTAAAACAAAAATTCCAGCCATCGAAATCCATTCTAAGAGGTCCGTTACCGCAAAATCGACTTCGTTTGGTGTGGGTAACTTAGATCTAGCTCGAATGGGTGTGGGTTGCGTATATCGAGCTTTTTTAAAAATAGAAAACCAACAACCAAAAACTAAAAACAATAAAAACCATAAACCATAAACCAAGATGATTATCAAAAGGGCTCTTAAAAAACACAAGTCATTTGTGAAATATAGTTTCTAATACGAGTCATTGAAGAAAATTCCTCGTAAATAAAAGATTATAGGATTATATATTGTTGACGTGAGCATTCTATGGAGAAAAATCAGCTATCAAATATTTCCAGATTAAGCGCCCTAGCTTCTAGGCATTTAACACAATATATTTAAGTACATGAATGAAAAACTATCACTAAACCCATGGGATATAGACTCCTTTTCACCCACTGCCCACAGCCACTCAATTCTCTTTTATTTGGATTCTATACAAATAAAACCTTAACAAAAGGGCCTTGTCGTAGTCAATGGTTTTGTATTAAAACATAGTGGTCGTTCGTGGCAAACTTCACCTTTTTCAGTGTTAAGAATGACAAACGAGTTCTATTTTGGCATCATTTATGGTTGGGGGATTCTATCTTAAAGGATAGATTTCCATCTTATTTTGGATCTCTTCTTTTCCTTCTATATCAGTCCATGATGCTTGAGACTCACATCCTTCTTCTTGGAGGATTGAAGTTAGGAGAATGCTAAAGGATGAAGAATTGAAAGAATATTTATCTTTCTGTCATGTTTAAATTCGATTCACCTTTGTGATGATGAGGATAAGTTGAAATGGAGTTTAAACTCTTTAGAATCCTTTTCGGTTAGCTCCTTTTGTAAGCCTAGAGTTGGTTCTTCATCTCTGCCCAAGGATTTTGTTTCAAGATTGTGGAATTCGTGCAACCCAAAAAGGGTGAATGATCTATCATGGATTCTCATTCTCCTTAATGGGAAAGTAAATACTACCGAAATTCTCCAAAAGAAGCTGCCTAACATTCTCCTCCATTCTTCTATGTGTTTTTTCTGTGCTGCCAATTGCAAAGACCAAGTGCATTTGTTTTTCTTTTGTCCTTATGCATCAGTTTGTTGGGATCTCTTCTTTCATATGTTCAATTTAGCTTGGGTAAAGGACGAGTCAGTATCTTCAGCTGTTATTTGGTCCTTTCTTTTCGCCTAAAGCAAGTCTTCTTTGGGTAAACGGTCTTAATTCTGAATTGTATTTTCGTCTGTTCTCTTTTGTCTTGTTTTATGGTTTACTTTCACTCCCTTCGGAAGTTTGTATCTTAGAACATTGTAATTGTATTTCCTTTTCATTATTTCAATGAGAAGTTCATATCTTGTTCTAAAAAAAAAGAGAAAAGGGAGAAGAAATACAAATAGTTAATATAAAACAATATAACCTAACAACAAAGTAAAAAATTAAGCTACAAAACTCCAACTAATCTGAAAGCAAAAAGCTTCCTAATTCAAGCAAATATCAACAGAATTATAACCCAAGAATGAATTTGACAGAGAACACCACTGCGACGCTCTTTGAGAAACTATATCAAATCGACTTGAAGCGTAACTATGTTTGCTTCTTTTTGCCGTGTTAAGACTGCTGTTTAGGAGAATCCAAATCAAAATGTTGATTATTTTAGGACTTTGTTTTTAATAGTAGTGAAAGAACCTCCTTAAGCAAAGGAAGAGACTTGACGAAAAGTTGTTTGAATTAAGAATTTACTGACAACTTCCTTGAAGACCCTCATCTTCAGCACATGATAATTTAATGGGATCCAACACTTCAAACAAGCTACTAAACTCAGCTATTACATCTTCCTTCAAATATCTTTTGTAAGTGATTTTCCATGTAAGAAAATTTTGGTCCAAAAAATCAGCTACGAGACCATTGGGCATCACCACTCTAAAATAAATAGGAAACCGAGATTTAAAGGGTAGATTGCCAAGCCATCGAAAAGAGAATTATTTTACTGTTCTCCACAGTGAAAGATGAATAAATATACATCTTCTTCCAGATTCTAGAAATGCTGCTCCATAGACTTCTGAAAGAAGCATTTTTCCTTCCAATTGTATGCCACCCTGATGGATCCAAGCCGTGGACGCTTGAGATAACTTTGTGCCAAAGACTATCTGATTCATTGATGAAACGCGACCCCCATTTTGTCAAAACTGCTGAGTTTTTGTGTTTTAGACCACCATCCAAAAGAGATTTAGAAGTAATGTGCCATTTAACCAAGTGATTTACCTTACCCCCTGCATGTCCTTCCCAAAAGAATTTGTGCAAAAGCTGTCCTTATTTGTGTACAAATTCTCAAAGAAGTGCAGATATTAATTTTAAATCGCTGATTCAGTCAATAAACTATTCCCATCCCTAGAGAGGATCTCAAGAATAGTTCTTTCCTTAGGCCTCATGGCAACCATACACTGGAGAAAGCTAGAATTTATATCTCTCTTTTAGCCATTTGGTCTTGCATCTCTGTCTCCAGTGGGATTCCTCTTTAGTAGCCAGTGTGAGGAGTTGGGCTATCATTGAATTTTTTTGAGAGATTTGGCTTGTTTGTAAAACTCCTGCTTTTTATATTCCGTCCAGCACACCAAGCTCGGTAAGGAGTTTAAACTCAGTTTTGAGGCCAAATTGGTGTGAAAAATTTTTAAATTTGAGAAGTAGAATAATGGTTGGGAAGAAGTGAAGATTTTTTAATGATAAGAGTAGAGCTTGAGTGGATTGGATACTGTTAATAATTTCCCCTTGAGCATGGACTGGCTTAACAATTAGATCGATAGGTTCTAGATGTAATTTTTGGGGTGTAACTTTTTTGTTTTTTCAACCACTGTTCATTGGAGATTTATTATTATGTGTGTAATCTCCTCGGTTTATATTCATGCGGATGTCTTCTCTTAGTTGGTTTGTTGAATCAAATATCATTTGAAAAAATTCGTCTAGCGTTGATGCAGCCCAAAGTTATTATCAGTTCTCCATGTTCAATCATGGTCTGACTTAGAGTGATAACTTTGGTACTAAATAATGTATTTAATTTATCAGGATGACTAATCTGTTTCTTGTTGATTATAGTCTTGAAAAAGCTGTTGAAGTGGATTACAACTGGGTGGAATTTGATGATGTGCGTTACCATGTCCAGGTGATTTTTCTTATTTTATTTTCATCATTTGGCTGCAGATTAAATTTTGTTAAATTTTGCTATGATTGATCTGAATTGTTTTGTAGGTCTCAATGAAAAACCCAAATTCCTTCCTGCTATCTGTATCATTGCCCATTCCTTCTGCAGATACTGTTTTTTGTGGTGGGCTTCCATCTGGAGCTATAGAAGCTATTAAGGCTGCATATGGCGTGCTTGTACAGATTCTTGATCCTCCAAGAGATGGTTTTAATCTCACATTAAAATTGAATCTTTCAAAACTTCCACCTGATGAAGGTTCATCGAGTTTTCTCTTTAAGGTCATTATAAATTGTTAAGGATATTGAAGAAAAGGGTTATTGTTCATTTTTTAAGTATTATCTCTTCTTGTTAACGGTGCTATTGTTTATGATTCCTAGCTCTTTGCTTTCATTACTGTCTTTGAAGTGAATATGCTAGTTTTGGAAGTAGTATTTAGGAATTTTCATTTGGGCTCCATCGAGAAAAATCCTTGATAGGAATGTCAAAATTCCCTCATTCTAGTGGGGCATGGGATCCCCATTTCAAGTAAAAATGGAGAGTTTTACCCACCCTACTTCTTTCCTGCGCCTCTGGTTCCACCACGACCTTTCTTGGAGCACTTTCAATGGGAATAAGACCGAAATTGTTCCTTTTAAAGTGCTTTGCGGGTCAATAGCACCAACCTCTTTCTCTAGAGAGCCATGGAAGCTCTTGGTGCCAAGAGCAGCAGGGTGTGGCCCAATAGGGGTCATTAAGCATAGCCGAAAAACTAATCCAGCTGACCAAAACCGACCGAATCGATGTTGGTTGGTTGGTCTATAGGATAGATCAGTCATCTTTGGTTTTTTTTAGAAAATTTTCTAGTCAGTCGGTCGGCTCATCCAATGCTAAAGCAAATTGACCAATCAACCAATTTATTAATTAAATAAAAATCTCAGGAACAAACAGCCCACTGCATTGCATTCAGAGAGAACTACAAGAGAAATGAGAGAAAAAGTGATATAGAGGAGGGAGTAGAATAGAAGAAAAAAGAAAGAGAGACTATAGAGAAGAGAAATAAAAGTGAAGGAAAGTGGGAGGAAAAGAGAGGGAGGGAGAGTAGTTGAATAGGAAAAAAAAGGAAGAATGGTTAATAGAGAGCCACGTTAGTGAGAGAAGTAGAATCTCAATGTCGTATTTTTACAAGAAACAAAGCTTCAACAGATGGACTCTCATTCCATTAAACTTCTATGGAGTTCCAGAGACATTGGTTGGTCGATCATTGATTCGTTTGGAAAATGAGGGGGCATTTTGATTATGAGGGATGAAACCGGAATTTGCATCAAGGATGTCATAAAGATTACAAGGAAAGAAAACATTTCTTTGTCGTGCGCAGGGACATTTATTCTCTTTGTGAAAGCTGATGGAGCATTGGTGGGGATTTTAGTATCATTAGATGGCCGTCAGAGAGATCTTCAGGTAATAGATTCTTGAAAACCATGAAGAAATTCAATCACCTTATTGAAAAGCTCGAGATTGATGAAGTTCCTTTAGCAAGCGGTAAATATTCTTTGTCCAAGCCAGGTAATGAGTCCATCCACTCTTGACAGGTTCTTTGTTTCGAATGGGTGGGATGCTGTCTTATCTCATTCCAAAGCATCTCGGGCCGAAAGAATCACATCCGATTATTTTCCAATCCTTTTGGAGGCAGGGGAGTCTTGTTGGCGTCCCAGTCCTTTTCGTTTTTTAAATTGAATCCAAGCTTGCTAAAGATCGATCATACTGATGGGCCGGTTTCGCTCACTCCAAATTGAGGAATCTAAAATCCTCTCTGAAAATTTGGTATTTACATAATGAGAAAAAGAAGAAAGAGGCAGAGCATGAAATCTTACTTTAGATCTCACAATTGGTTGGTAAAAAGGAATTAGGTGGTTTATCTTCCGAAGAAATTGAAAAAAGAAGTGTCAATCAACCACCACATGTTGCTGTATCTTAAATTTCCAATCTACAACCACATGCTAGAGAGCTGTTAAACATGCTGCAACAACTATTGTACAAAACAAATCTTTCAACAACAGCAAGTGGTTCTTGGAATGTACACAACAAGGTAACCAAAATTCCGTTTCTCTCCATACTCAAACTCTTCCATCTGAATGGATAGTGGAATCTGGAGCATCAGATCATACATGTGATAGATCCTTATTCTCATCTTTTTCACTTTACACGAGTAATCTTTATGTTCGAATTGCTAATGGTACACCTGCTAAAGTGACTGGTATTGGAAGTATTCAGATATCAAGCTCTCTCATTCTTGAGTCAGTTTTATTTGTGCCAACATTGGAGTATAATCTACTATCTGTAAGTAAGTTGAATCGGGACTTGAACTGCGAAACTAAATTCCTTGCAAGCTCTTGTATTTTTCAGGACTTGGGATCGTGGAAGATGATTGGCATTGCAGAACTATGTGCCAGATTGTATCTTCTGAGAGCAACTAGTCCTCCAACAAATAAATGCAATAAGCTTGTAGTTCAGTCTAATCGTGAGTCAGCTTATATTTCTAAGTCTTTAAATCATAAAGATAGTCGTATCATGATGTTGCACTATCTTTTTGGTCATCTAAATTTGGCCTATCTAGAGCGTCTGTTTCTTTCTTTATTTACCAATAAAAAGAGTCAATCTTTCAAGTGTGAGATTTGTCAACTCTTCAAACACACACGTGCTTATTATTCACCTAATATTTATTCTCCATCTCAACCTTTCTCTCTTATCTATGGAGACATTTGTGGCTTATCAATGGGGCTCGTTGGTTTTTTCTGTTTGTTGATGATCATGCACATTTGAGTTGGACATTCTTTATGAAAGACAAATCTGAAACTAGCCAATTATTCACAGCCTTTCACAAAATGATCCAAAATCAGTTTCAAGTCAATATCCAAGTATTGAAAGCTGACAATGCACGTGACTTTTTCAGCTCTACCCTTGGAACATATCTCCAATCTCATGGCATTGTTCACCAAAGTTCTTGTGTTGACACACCCCAACAAAATGGTGCCATTGAACGCAAAAATTGTCATTTTCTCGACGTAGCCCGATTCCTAATGCTCACATCACACATTCCAAAATCTTTTTGGGGCGAAGCTTTTCTCACTGCTACCTATCTCATAAATTAATTGTCCTCTCGTATTCTCAAATTCAACACACCCTTGCAAAGTTTACTTACGATCTATCTTACATCCCATCTGGTGTCTCAACTACCATTAAAATATTTAGGTGTACTACATTCGTTCACGTATATCCTCAGTGTCGTAGTAAACTTGATGCGAGATCCAAAAAATGTGTCTTCCTTGGATACTCATCGAATCAGAAAGGATACAAGTATTATCATCCCCCATCTCAAAAATTCTTTCATATCATGGATGTCACATTTTTTGAACATCAACCATATTATCCCAATTCTGTAATTCAGGGGGAGCATTATGATTTTGAATCACAAAATTGGAATTGCACTCTTGATTCCTGCAGTAACTTTAAATTTATCATCTGAAAGTTCACTTGCATCTTCTGAGTCAACTCCCCTATATCTACCTCTAAGCCTGAATTGCAAGTTTATTCGCGAAGAGCGAGACAACTTGAGAGGACCGAGATACAACCTACACAAGTTCAACAAAGCCAAGATCTAAACCAAAATCCTAGTATCCCTGAAATAGGACACGAGATGTCAGAAGATGATAGACCCATTGTTGTAAGGAAAGGTGTTCACTCATGTACTCAACATCCCATACAATATCACTTATCTTATACTAATACGTCGCCATGTTTCAAAGCTTTTGTGACTTCACTAGATCATATACAAACTCCCACTCGGTTCAAGAAGCTCTACAGAGACCTGAATGGAAAGCTGCCACCTTAGAAGAGCTAGGCTTTGGAGAAAAATGGGATTTGGATCCTTACTGACTTACCCCCAGGTAAACGCACAATTCGTTGTAAATGAATTTTTTCGACCAAACATAGACCAGATGGTAATATAGAGCGATTCAAAGCTCGCCTTTGTCTAAAAGATTCACCCAAGCTTATGGGATTGACTATCAAGAAACTTTTGCTCCAGTTGCCAAGCTGAATACTATTTTGGTACTTCTCTCTATTGCAACAAATCTAGATTTGGCCCTTGTTTCAACTAGATGTAAAGAATGCATTTCTAAATGGCGATTTAGTAGAGGAAGTGTACATGGACATACCTCTTGGATTTGAGAACAGGTATACTAGAGGAAAGGTATGTAACTCAAGAAGTCTCTCCATGGACTAAAACAGTCACCTCGGGCTTGGTTTTAAAAATTTATAGCTGTGTTGAAACAAGATGCCTATACTTAGTTTCGAAAGATCTAGTAAAGGGATTTCTGTTACTCAATGAAAGTACACCATAGATCTCCTAAGAGAAGCTGGGATGAGTGGCTGCAAACCAACAGATACACCTATGGATGCGAACTCAAAACTTGGAGTTAATCTCGAAGATGAACCAATTGATAAAGGCAGATATCAACGTCTAGTTAGGAAGCTTATATACTTACCTCATACGTGACCAGACATTAGCTTTGCAGTTAATGTGGTAAGTCAATTCCTGAACAAACCTTCAAAGGAACATATGGAAACTGTGTATAGAATATTGAGATATTTTAAGCACGATCTTGGAAAGGGACTCATGTTCGGGGAGACCACAAACTGAGCTCTTGAAGTCTACACTGATGTAGATCGGGCCGGATCTCCAATTGATCGGAAGTCAACATCAAGATATTGTTCCTATGTATGGGGGAACTTAGTAACCTAGTGTAGTAAGAGACAACAGGTTGTAGCCCGAAGCAGTGCTGAAACTGAGTTTCGATCATTAGCCCATGGGATTTGTGAAGGAATTTGGTTACAACGCCTTCTCATTGAGCTTAAGATCAAGACTGAAGTTACTATAGAGGTACTATGTGACAATCAATCTACTATAGCCATCATAAGAAATCCAATACATCATGATCGGATGAAACACGTTGAAATAGACCGTCATTTCATCAGTGAGAAGATTGAGACGCAGACAATTAATCTAAGATATATGTCTTCCCAACAACAAGCAGCTGATATATTAACTAAGGCATTGCATCGAACCAACCATAGTAGATTGATTTCGAAACTTGGAATGACGAGCATATATCATCCAGCTTGAGGGGAATTGTAGAAAGTCAAGCTGAAATTTAGGAAAAATTACTTTAAATTTATTTCCTTGTATACTATGTAATTTAGTTTTTCCTTGTAGATCTAGATTGATACCTAATTTCTAGTCTTTTGAGTGAAGATACCCTTGTATATATTTCATCCTATTGTATTGAGAATAATAAGAAAAGTTCTTCTATCAAAAAGCTTCAGGAGCCAACCGAAACTAACTTACAAAATAAGAATTATTAAAATACTAAACTAATGGCTAACTAACATAACAGGGCTTATGATCTGCATCACATTTTTCCAGGCATCTTTGATTCCCATGCATTAAATATGAGCTAATGTGCCCATCATTAGTTTATTGCTCGATGAACCAAATGTATATTTTAATCTGTCTACTGTATCTCTCCTTCAAGGCCACATCACCGAACCTTATCAAGCATGTTGCATTTTGTTGAATCTACAAGGATGAATGCAGAATTTGGACTAGATTAAGCTAATGTATCAATATTATTTGCTAATCTCGTTTACCAGCAATTTGATACCTAACTGAGTTTAATATTAGGAGTTTATGGAGCTATAAGTACACCCTTTTTTTACAATTGCTTTGTAGGAGAGTCTCTTTCGTGGAAGTTGCTACTTTTAATTCTTCTGTGAGATATAGCTTTTTTGTGCTCAAATTATTGCTGATGCTTTTTTTGACTTATTTCTTGCAGATAATAAGCACACTATTTTGGTAAAAGTCGCATCTATTAGGGAAGTGGTTCTTGGTGCTCCATTAAGAGTGATTCTTAAACATCTCGGGTCTAAGGTTGTGGCTTCTGATGTCAACAGGCTTGTTGCATTGGTTCATCGTCCAAAAGAGTCATTTTTTCTTGTTCCTCAGGTAAAACGATCATTTTTTCTCTTACTTACATTACTTTGGACAATATTTGGTGTATTGTAAAGCTTGGAGCTTAAACCTAAGATGTAGAAGTGCGGGCTCTAGTGAGGCAAGGTGCACAACTTAAAATAATTATACAAATTTAATAAATGAAGATTCCTTCAAGAACCTCTTGCACCTGCACTTTACTTTCATCCCACAGCGGATGCCTCCTGATCTGCCATTAGCTCCAATCTACGCCCAACCCACACCCCTTGAACTCCAAATAGATCTAATGAAGTGCTCATTAATCTGCTTCATTTTGATTCTTGCATGAAAACAATGTCAGGACGGTGCTTTAAGATGAATTTCTTGATCTCCAATCTTTTCTTATAATTCCCCAAACCCCTCATATTCCATGATAGGATTTTCATTGAGAACTTTGTACGGGGTTAATGATAACCCCACTTTAGTGAAAGAAGGGAAGGATGGGAGGCTGATGCAGCAGTGAACTGAAGGCTTGGCTGGAGGCTTTTCCTCTAAGGATAAAACAACTGGCTTTTCCGAGAGAGACTCCAATTTGGGGTAAGAGCTGACTTTGTCCAAACCAAGAAGGTTGAAAAAGTCCTCTTCCAATGGATATTCAAGGGGATCCTCATGGAAAGTCTATTGATCTTCTTTGGAAGGAGTGAAATCTGGGCTGCTTATACTAACATTAAATTCATCTGCATCATCTGAATAGACCCTTTGATTCATATTCAAATTGTCCTAAGTAATACTGTAATAGTTGAAAAAACTATACCGGGACACAAGGAAAATAAATGAGAAGGATTTTGATCTGGCCCACTACAAACTTTCTCAATAGGTTTAGTCTCTCCCTCTACCTCAAATGCTTTTAAGAGATTAATGTTGGGAATGTTAATTGGCTTTGATTCCTCCAATAATAACTCTTTGTTAGGCAAGGAGACGTTTTTTCTTCTAAAGTATAAGAGAGGGCAGGGCTCAATAAATTTTCGTTTGAAATTACCAATTGGACAAGAGCTACAGGAGATTCCAAAATGGGCTGCAGCATTAAATGTGGAGGCACAGGAGCCGAAGGAACAATTTGGGATGTTTTGTCTTCCTTCAAAATAAATCCTGAAACCAACACCTCTTCACCTTCTTCATCTGTTATCGTTGGCACATTTAAAGCACCGTCCACTATCTCTGTATCAACTGCAATTAAAGAAGATTTTCGGGAGACTTTTCAGAATTGGGGAGGGATATATAACCTTTGCAAACGTTTCAACTTCTAGACATTCACGAAATCTATCGATCTCCATGGCGTTCTCAAGAACTTTGGATCAAAAATGGCAGAGGAGAATCGACTTACACTGAATTTTGAATAGAAAGAAGAGGTATACCATCTTCAAAGCTCAATGAATCCTTATCTGCCATAGAGGCTAGGCGTTTTAATGGTGCTGAGTAGAGCTGCAATTGCTAGGATTACTTCCATGTTCTCTTTATTCAAAGTTGTTCCCTCTTTGAAAAAATTTGGAGTAAGGGTTCTCAAGTTTTTGTGGAATTGGTATAGGCGAGTCTCAAAGGAGGTCTTGCACCATGTTGCCTCAACCATTGGGTGTATCCAATGAATGGAGGGGGAGGTTGCAGCAAAGTCATTACTTCTTTGTTATGTCATCTAGAACATCTTTCCTGCTTCTCGTTGTTTTTGGTTATTGCTCCTTTTAGCTCCTCAATCTTTTGTTTGGCGGTTGTTATGGCTTTTCTTCAACAGGCTGTATTCTTCGGATTTGCAAATTTTGAAGCTAAGAGTTCTTCAAGTCTCTATTTTTTCATATTTTTGGTTAATTCTTTGGCATTAGTCTTTTTGGTGTTGCTTTGGTAGTTTGTAGGTGGTGGTCTTGGTCATTGATTCTTTGTTCCTTACTGGTTGCTTTTCTTCTCTTTTCGCTTCCATTAGAAGCTCGTATCCTTTAATATTTTTATTCCTTTTCATATTATCAATGAAAATTTTGTTTCTTGTTAAAAAAATAACAGGCTGAAAAGGTAATTGTGGTGTTTCCAATGAGATTTAGGGATTCTATAGACATTGCTCTTGCGACTTCTTTTCTCCAGGTAAGGTTATAATTTATTCGCCCAATTAAGTGAGTAGATGTCTGTAAATGGTACCTTTAATTTTCTTTACAAAATCGGGGTGCCATATATTTGTGTATAATGCTGAGTCACTGACTAGGGTTTCCTTAGCAGGATATTCTAATGGTTGTAATGTTATTGATGGCACTCCTAAAGTTATGATTCTGACTGTAGGATAACATATTTTCTTCGATTAAGTTGTGAATTTTCATGCCACTGTTTAGGAATTTGTAGAAGCAAGACGAACTGCTGGACTTAATAATGCTCCTCCTTGTTCATGGTCTCCATCTCCTCCTCAAGAACTGAAGGGAGCTCCCAATGATGCATTATCAGCCAATGCAGGATTTGTGACTTTTGGTAATATTTGAAAATAGTGCTTGTTTTGCAAGATTTTTCCATTGCTCTAACCGCACAATGTCTTTATTTAATGCAGTAATTTTCCCTCGGCATGTAGAGGGAAATAAGGTGGACCGTGTAATTTGGAGTTTGTCAACGTTTCATGCATATGTTAGTTATCATGTTAAGGTTTGTTTATTTATATTATATTGACCTAAGTCAGTTTCTTTAATCACGTACATTCTTTTAGTAGTTCACTTGCTACCTTGAAAATGCATAACCAAATGAAACATGTTCACATTTTGATACAGTATCTATCCTAGGCTTTGCATGTAATAGTTAGCTTGGCTGACCATTGGTTGATGGCTGTGCAGTTAAACTTTTTTTTCAATTAACGGAAATGAACTTTTTGTTGATAAATGAAAAAAATACAAACTCCCATTGGGAGTGAGAAAAGAAAAGAAATAATCCAACCAAATGAAGCAGCATAGATAGGAGAGATAAAAGCCCCCAATTCCTACAAATGTCATTATAAGAAAAATTTGCAAATAAAAGAGAAACCACCTAAATGAAAATTTTATTTTAACAAAATCAAATCGATCCCCTGAGATGTACTGCTTTTCTTTATTAATTGTCTGATTTAAAACCAAGTCTTTGAGATGGAAGCTTGATAACATTAATCCAAATCAGTTACTTTATGATACAGTATCCTCTTAATAGTGAATTCTTAATAGTGTTGTCTTTTGAATCATAGTCAAACACCCCCTTAAATTGAATATTCCAAAGAGAAAGTGGCAAATGTCCATTGAGTGTGGACAGTGGAAGAACAAATGATTTTGATCCTTGTTGACCAATAAATAAAAAGAACAAACTTATTCGAGCGGGTTCAAGAGGTGTTCTCATCAAAAAGAGGTCCTTTGGCAATGGTATAGAATTTTGCTGCCTACTTAAAAAGGCTACCGAAGGTTCTGTGAGGTAACTCCCTCACTTGATAGTATTCAATGGAAATAGAGTTCAATAACAACAACCATTCGAGAGGGTTGCTCTCTCCACAACAGACAAATACTTCAGAATACAAAATAATACCTGCCCCCACCTAGGCAGCCACAGAACAGATATATCTCCCCTCACCTAGGACTCCCCACAAAAGACAAAAGACAAAAGACAAGGCACTCCTTAGGGTCAACGGTCTAACTGTCAGAAGAGGGGGAATTACCCCCTTTACCCTACGTACATATGTGTTCCTAATAGGAGGCCTAACATCATCCCCCGGGGCCTAGACACCTTGTCCTCAAGGTGGAAGTTGAGAAATTGGAGTTGGAAGGCATCCCAATTCTCCCAGGTAGCATCTCCTTCATCCATATGCTGCCACTGGACGAGGGCTTCCAATTCCCCCGTGTCAT